ATCACCAGCCGTAACGTTATGCAAATCTGTGATTCCCAGCCATAGTCTTATGCAAATCATGCCGTGTGGCGTAATTGTCTGCTGACCAATCAGTGGCTGTACTTTCAAAAAGCCAACGGCCACTTTTAACCATCTGTCGATGACCATTACGACTAAAAAAAACTTCGTTAGGTCTTACTTTCAGTGGGAGGTCTTATATTTCGCAATTCAGCAAAATCTGTGCTAGGTCTTATTTTCTGCGAATGTCTTATTTTCAGGGAAACACGGTAAAAACCTTTATTTTATCAGTACTAAAACTGATAAAAAAACAAAAATGAAGTATACTGTACTTAAATATTGCAAAATAACATTAAGAAATAGCAAGGAGTCGGAGTATTGCAATTCGGGGAAACGTGGAAATAGACCCTTGAAAAAACAACATCTTAGTACCCGCAGGACAAATTTTTTTTTTAAAAAGTAATTATTTTAATTTCTTCAATTAATAATTTATAATGTAAAATACATTGNCCCTTGAAAAAACAACATCTTAGTACCCGCAGGACAAAATTTTTTTTAAAAAAGTAATTATTTTAATTTCTTCAATTAATAATTTATAATGTAAAATACATTGTCTATCAATAAACAAATGATATTATAACGAAACAAAATGGTGCCACTCTTTCATTTCCACGAATTCACGTTTAAAATCAGTAACCGTTAAGTAACGCAGTTATATTGAATTTATTTCTTTTCAAATACAGTAACCTAAAAGACAATATTATAAAAGACAAAGTGAATAAAAAAAACGAATAAAAAATTTCAAACCTTTACGTAATCAAATTTTAATTAAACGCACGAGAAATCTAATAATCAGAAATTATTATTACTTTCGAATCGAAGAAAATACGCGGAAAATTATTTAATCGAAATCCTATTTTTATTTAAATAAAATTTAAAAAAAATAAAAAATTAATTAAAATATTATCACCGAATTAGGTTCGATCAGGTTTTTTTTTATTTATTTATTTTAATCGCAATTATCCAATCAGACTCGCCACACGTCGCATAATTCTATCTGCGCCATCTAGTGTCGAATGTGAGAAACATTCACCTTGGAACAGCTGTAAACCTATAGTTAGAAGATAAGTTAGAGTAATTCGTTTTCGTATTATAAGTTAGTAATAAGCTAATGTGTTGAAATGAGAGCCGCATTGCTAACTATAGGCAGTCTGGTATTGACAATCACGGTTATCGGAAATGCATACTATCAAAAAAATCAGTTCTATCCATCAGTTGTTTATATCACCAAATCCAACCCTAGTATGGCAGTAAGTTGAAATATCTTGCTGTTTATATTACTACTTTTTTGTATTTTATATCTTGTTTTATGTCTTTATGTTATTTAATACACTCATAAATACACTTAGTAGAGAAATATATCAAGAGTCAATAGATACAAGTAACATATATATGTGGAGTAACCATCAATTCATTATGTAAATGTTAAATATAACAAGTATAAATGTCCATTTAGTTAAATTGCTTGATTATCAGAATCAATACTATGAGAAACATATGAAAGATTGTATTAAATGTCCAAACTTTCAATATCATATAAACAAAACCGTTCAAATGCTCTTAATAGCGAGGTTGGGGCGATGTTTTCATCGTCTAGAACGTGAACGCGAATGTCAACTGTCGCTTAGAAGCGGTGCTCGACGTTCACGTTTTAGAGACGGAAATGTCGGCCGCAACCTCGCTAATAAATAATTTGTTACTTCTGAAACAAATGAGATTTATGATAGGTGTGTTTCAATACGTAAAATCAATATCTGCTAATGGTAATTTTAAGTGCATTAATTGATTGGTAATGCCTTTTTTGTTTTTTTTTTGAATAGAATGCCAAACTAATTCACTCAAATTCACTATTTTTATGGAATTTAAAAAGAAAATGAAAATTTAATACGCGCGATTCGTAAAAATAATATCGAAATATACAGATCGAAGTTAAGATAAATTATCCTAATTTTAGTTCGAGGGAAAATGGCATGTAATTTTTGTACTGCCAAGATATAATTATTCATTTGACGGAATTAGAATGTCATTGTAAATAAAGTAATTAGTAACGTTAAAAAAAATTAAGCGATTTAAGGAATTTAATTTATAAATATTCATTTATTGCTAAATTTGTTTGTTGATATAATCTGAAATTATTTATTGGTTAAATGAATTTGAATATTAGTTTGATGTAATTTATAATAAATATTAACATATACAAACAATATTTTACAACTTAAAATTCTAGAAAATATTCTTGATCTATAAAATTCACTATTAAGTGTATTTAATAATAATAATAGTAATAGAGTTGATTTTTATTTAATTTTAGAACTGTTTAAAGTCTGATATATTTTATAAAGTATTATTTTACGAACTGAAAAACTAAAAATTCAATTTGTCATCGGTAACAGTAATTGCACTATTAATTATCCTATTTCACCGCTACTAAACTTTGGAATTTTGGATAAACTGTTTGAATATATATAATAAAAATAACAAATATTATTTTTGAATCCATATTATACTTTTATAAGAAAGATTTCCTATTTTTCAGAGGTATTTCATAAGTTATGTAATCCACAAAAAACAGTGATTTTAATATTTGCATTAAAAAATTAAATAAGTAGAACCTATCAGTTTTTGTACAGAAATGTAAGACGTTTTTTTTTACTCTTCATTTTTTATCTAAAGTTTTACTATTATCTAGAAAAATATATTATTTATTCTATTGTTATATATTTCAACAGATGATATGAATCAGTTTACTGTAAAATGATTTTCAGATTAGAATGTGCTTTGTGAAAAATTTATTCAAATGCTAATAATTATCAATAAAAATAAGAAAAAACAAATGATGATTTAATTTGTCATAAATTTTCAAAAACTGCTATCAATATTTATTTGTTCATTAAACAGTATTTGTTAGATTATCTTGTCAAGCATTTCTACCTTTTTTCTCAACTAATTAAATGAAAAGTAAGATAGGAGATAACAAATGAATAATGTTGTTTCATTTAATTTATTTAAAAGAAAATGACTTATTAAACACTAATTTTATAGTGTATTTTGAAGACACATGGCAGGTTAACTAAATAAAGATAACTGATGAAAACCTGCCATGTGTCTTCAAAATACACTATAAAATTAGTGTTTAATAAGTCAAAAATATGGAAAAGGACACGGTTTCATAAAATAAAAGAAAATGCTTTTCATTAAAATCCTTTAAAATTCTTATTAATTCACAATTTAATGAAGTAAGAATTTGAAGAATTACTGTATTTTACAGCATATAAGATGTAACTTTTATCCAAAAAAGAGGCTCAAAAACTTTCCCTATGTCTTGTATGTGAAGTTGCAATCTCCCATAGGCTAATGAGCAATTATTTATTGTGACATTGTCACAATGCCGGGTTGCAATTTTTAATCATATTTTTAATTTATTTAATTTAAAATATATGCTCTCCACCTCAAATTATTAATAGTGGCTTGTCCCTGTACATAATACTTTTCCTTTAACAATATAGTTATGCCAGTCATCTATTAACTGCTTTTAGGGGGAAGTTTTGAATTGAAATAACTTCCAGTTTGCATCAGAAGTTCATATACAGTTAATCAGGGCTTCTGCCTCTAAGGTTTCGATATCTGTTTTTTTTGCCTATTTAACTCTGTTCTTGAGATTAAGGGAAAATGGATGGACGATAGATGACAGTGGGAATTTATAGGTCTACAATTTTTTCAAATTGCAGCTCAATGAGTTCCCCAAATTGTATGTCCTGATATTCATGATTATCAGATATTTTAATTGTAAATTTTCTTATATACACCCCTTGTCAGAAAGGTTTCAAAACAAAGCAATAAAAAAATAGAAAATTGTAATTACCAAGTAATGATCTAGCTCCTGGCAAAGTAGTCCCCTCAGCTATCTATACACAATTGCCAATGTCTCTGGAGATCTTGGAAGCAAGCAGAGAAAGCTTCAAGTATGATGCTTGTTAGCTCATTTGTCACAGTCCATTGGATGTCTGCGATGTCTTGACAAAACGTTGGTTGCTTTTTCACTCGCAGAAACAAGAAAAATCACACTTTTTCTTGAACTGAAAGGGATGTTTCATCATGATATCGCAGACATCCAGATGCTCAGACACTCAGATGCTGATATCTGCTATGCTAAATATTCCATCCAAAATATGAAGAAGGGCAAAACTTTTATTGGGAACTGAAACACTTCTTGTGAAAAGCAATATGTCATTCTGTATCAAAGTTATGAATGTGATAAACTTGGTATCGTGTCAATTTGCCATTGCAGTTTTGCCATTGACAAATTTGCCATGTGATTAATTTGCCTCGGCAATTTTGCCACATTGTAAATTTGCCTTGGGCAATTTTGCCGTTCTGCCATGTTTTATGGTAAATAAATACACAGTTTATAAATTGCATACATATTTATTTACAAAATCATAAAAAACAATAAAGCTGGACAGGAGGTAAAGTTTATCAGAGAATTTAAATCTGCTTTCTTGTTTGCAGTTTAACTGACCAAAGAAAAAATTCCAGCATATAACATCAATGCCCATTTGCTGCATCAATTTAATAGCACCAATAGTCTTCATTCATAAGCTACCATGCTAAATTTTTTGTTTCTTAATGTTTACCACATCTTGAGATATTAAACAAAATAGATGACAACATATACACATCCACAAAATTTTTTTGATTTTTTTTTTTACTTTTTTGGATTTAGGAGGTTTCAAAACCTGGCGATTTGAGAAATAAAGAGGATCAAATTTGACATGATTTCAATGCTTTTCCTTGTTATGTATACATAGCAGCCAGGAAAGTGAGTCATAATGTTCTGCTAAATAAGGATATCAGTTATAAGAATTGTCAAATACATTCTAACTAACTGAGATTTGTGTTACATATTTTTTCAAAAATAATAGCAAGGTTGCTTTTGAAGTTTTCAATGCAAAAACGTGTACGTCGGACATTCAGCACCACCATCCTGTAAGCCTAGAAGTTTGACAATTGTGTTTGGAACATAAGTGGAATCATGCTCGATGTCCCAAATGCCATTGTCAAACTTATAGGCTTACAGGATGGTGGTGCTGAACATTTGACGTACATGTTTGTGTTGAAAACATCTGCTGCAACCTTGCTAATTCAGATGACTTTCCCCCAGATTAGCCTTTTAAACCAACAACTTTCAGTAACCACTTGGTGCAGCAAATGACCTGTGTCAAATTTACAATGCAGCAAAATTACTCTGTGGTGAATTAATCACATGGCAAAATTGTTGGCAGTAAAAATGGCCACCTTTCCACCTTCCAAAATGGCAGAGGCAAGATTGTGATTATAAAATGATGTATAAACAATAAACTCGCATTACACTTTTTTCTTGTTGATTAAGTGCAGAAAATGGCTCTGAAACGAGCATTTGAATACAGTTTGCAACAATTGCTTATAATAAGTGTAATGATAGTTGTTGTTGTTGTATTATCTTTATCTCTAATATTTAAAAAATACAAAAGTATTTCTGTTTATAATTACAGAACACGTGTAAAATACAGGAAAATTTTCTTTTCAACAAAGGGTTTATCTTTATATATAAATGAGGATGTTTGTTTTTGTTCACTATACACTTCTAGGCCGTTTGACCAATTGCTACGAAACTTGATAGTTACATTAAAATACTTCTAACTTAGATAGTGTCCTACATTCCACCCCAAAATATCGATTACATTTCTATAAATCGATTCATTTTTATTTAATTTGATTTCCTGAGTTACATGTAGCATCATCTATTGGCAAAAAAGTTAAAAAATAATTAACTAAATATAATTCTTACAAAAAAAGGATATAATTATAAAAAAATATATATATTATTAATATATTTACTGAATTACTGCAACAATGATATAGCGTGAAATAGATGCACCATTATATCATTACTGTGACAAGTAGCACTTGTCTGCGTGGAGTGTAGTAGCATTTTGTCCCTGTACATCATACTTTTCCTGTTAGCAGAGTTGTATCTAACTCTGTTCAGGGGAAAAATTTTTGTATTGAAACAATGTGACTTGTGGTACAAATTGGAAGTTCATATATAGTAATCTGGTCCTTTTCTCTTACGATTTCCATGTCTGGTCTCAATTTTCATCTAACTCTGTTCTCGAGATTAAGGAAGGTCAGAGACTGATGGACAACTGGGAATTTATAGCTTTGCAGTTTTTTCAAATTGCAACCCAATAATTTTTCCATAAACACAATA